AACACTCCTCTTCATTGTAAACATTTCCATTTCCGGAAAGAATTTTCAATTCGCATTATTGCTTCATTTCGCTTGACTTCGCTTAACCAATCGTAATAAAAGAAGAAAAATATATATATATATATATATAGTATGTACAACGCAAAAACTATTGTTCCTGGAATTGAATTCCATGCGAAATCGAATCGAAAATGTTCGTCGAGCGATCGTAACCGGAAACGAACGGTTCCTCCGCAACAGTTAACGGAAGAAAATGCTGTTACCGCACTTCACAGCTATAAATCATCGAGCGCAAATGTTCTATTAAATGGGTCTATTCGTAGGTCATTGAACGATTCAATTATTTTTCGCATGATTAATTTCGAAGATTTCCCCTGAGAATTCTTTGATTTTTCCAACGTTTCTTTATTTCTTTGAATTTAACGTGGAAATTCCTCGAACGAGAAAAAATTATTTTTGGAAAAATATAAAAATCCTTTTATAATTGATATATTTTGTAAGAAATAAATCGTAGATCTTTTTCGGATTAAACTTATTTTTCAATCTTTCGCCGTATAATGATATTATAATATTACCAATATTTTTTAATACCAATGATATATGGAATAAAATAAATAAACGTTTTACGCAGTGGCTGGTATCTTGAATCGTGGATTATTTTTATTTTTCGTCGCACGATATCTTTCTGCATGCAACGATAATTGCTGATTTAAAAGTTAAAATGTAAATTTACTTTAAAGCGGTACAAGTGACAGTAAATAATTTTTCAGAATTTATCGCAAGGAAATAATTCTATTTTTAATCTTTTCGATTTTTAATCGTTCGACGAATTTTTGTAATTTCGAAATAATTAATACCGTGTACAGTGGCGCTATACGCATGAAGCAATTTCCAGACAACCTCGCGGATTAATTAAGTGACATGCCGGATGTAATTCACAGGCGCGATTACGCGCGAAACGTGTCGTTTTATTTGTTGCACTCTGTGGCAAAAAGAATCTCCTCTCAACGAGATTTTCCTTTGGATGTTGGATATTTTTAATTAAACTGCTGAAAAACTCGTAGATTGCTGTCACTTATATTCCCAACGTTAAATTTTTTATTACAATGGAATTTTAAAATTACTAATATCGTAGAAATATTTGCTCACGGATATTTTTTTAACTGTGAAACACTTTGAGAATTTTTCTTTTCGACGATAAATCCAATACACGTGTAGTAAAGCGTTAATTTATTCGTGTGACATTTCTGGAAGATCGATCCTATTAAAACAAAGAAAAATTAGTTAATATATAAATCTATTGAGCTTAATTTATGATCAATTGAAGAAATTGCCTATCCTATCGATATATTAACATTCCTGTATATATTAATCTATACATATATAAAACAAAAAAAAAAAATACTAATTCCATCACTATGCTAATTCCTATAACACTATAAAATGATTGGAATTTATTTTGAAAATAATGAAAAAAAAAATAGAAAAATTCGATGATGGATTACAGATTCGATATACACGGAACGATTCATGGGCCTGCCTTCCGACAACTTGCACGGTTATGAGCAAGGTCAACTATTGAACAAAGTGGATAACATTAAAACAAAGATGTATTACTTGATCCACGGCACTCTGGACGATAACGTGCACTATCAGCAATCTTTGTTGCTCGCCAAGGTTCTTGAGCAAAAGGATATTCTGTTCAGGCAACAGGTACGGTATTCGGGAGATTTATCTTCCGATAATTGATTTATTGCACTTTATTTCTTTGTTATTTTACCGAGGAATTTCGTTTTATTTCTGAAAATGAGCGAAAGATAGATATACGTTAAAAAAGAAAAAAAAAAGACAGGAACGTGTCATTTCGCTTCCGTATTATTTCAAAAAGCTTACGAAATTATTATGCTTAGCATTCATCTACGTGCTTTTTGCCCGGTTCATGGAGTTTAATATTCACGATTAAAATCTACAAAGCGCATGCGAAGAACAATTTTATTCCGTATGAATAAATTCCCACTGTTTCGCTTAAGTTTCGCGTGAAACACTTTTATTTAAATGACAATTACAGTTGTGTTTTCATTGCAATCGACATTATTTGTTCCCTTCAAATAAACAGATCGTTTGTATTATTTTATCGCGTTAATGACATTCAAATGAGATTAAAAACATTTATAAAAAAAGATTATTTGCCGTAGAAAGAATAAAAATTTAATTTTTTTTTTTTTTTTTTTTTTTTATTTTTTTTTTAAAATTTTTTTAAAAAAATTTTTTTTCCCGTATAAAAAATAAAATTTTATTTTTTTTTTTTTTTTCTTTTACAGACATACACGGACGAGGATCATGGGATCGCTCAATCACGGGCTCATCTTTATCACTCGTTGGAAAATTTCTTGGACGAATGTTACGAAGCTTCATGATCACAGCGTCGAGGAAAAATGACAATCTAGATCCTTTGCGCCACCTGCCTCACATTCCACTTGTAAATACCTTGCCACTTGTACATATTCGATGTACAATATGTAATATGAAGCGTTAGTGTACATAATTGAAAAAGGAAAAAAAAAAAAAGAAAAAAATAATTAAATACATTCGATTCAAACGTAATAATAAATTTGATAAAATAATAAAGTAATAAATTTGAAAGATATCGTTCTTCTTTCGATTCTTCGTGATTAATAACGAAGAAAAATTTCATATATTTGTAATCGAAATATAAAAATATGTATTGTAATCGAAGATCGAATATAGGAATTAATTATTTAGAGGATATATTTATACCTATTTGCGAATCGTTTGGGTCGAATGTAATTTTTGATTGTTAAGAAATCTAGAATTGGAGAATTTTTTTAATCTATTTTTTTGGAGAGACTAGATCGTTTATCGAAGGCCTAATGGGCTCGAAAAAAATAAATTTCTAGCCCTCTTATGAATAAATAATTAAGTCAACGTATAATTGCATCTCGTGAAAACATTTTTTAAAAGTAAGTTTCGTGAAATGACAGATGCAATGCGTTGTATAATCGCCGATAATTCAAAAATATCGAGAATAAGACGAATGTTTTTTGTGAGATATATTATATTGTTAATAAACAAATGTTATTAAATATTATAACGATAAAAATTCGTACGTTCAATTACGAATTTATAAGACATGTTCCTCTTTCGTTTCAAGCGTTATATGCGAGGCAAGTGAGAATTATGTGAAATGAAGTATATAATTAAACTCTCTAGGGAGTGTTTTATGAAAAATAAAAATAAATATTCGGCTCGGATATTGTTTATCTCTGAAAGAAAGAAAAATCCAACGATATCGTTGATCGCATATTCAATATTCAATACTTCTTTTACTTTTTTTTTTTTTTTAATTTCAAAACTTGGTGGTGTGGTATAAGTTTTATGCAAGAAATTATTTTCGCTTTTTTTTTTTTTACATTAATAACATGATATTTAAGCTACAATTATTATATATGTTCTACGTTACAAAAATATTATTTCAATATTTAAAATATAAGTTGATATTAATTGAATGTATCTATAAGTAAAAGAACATTATTGATTTTTTGTTAATTTTATCAATGTTAGAATAAAGAAGCCTGTTTAATACTATTATAGTGTAAAACATCTATTGTATATATAATTAAGTTGCTGGACTGGTTGTTAAAAAATTCCTCAATAGAGCATATATTTCTCTTTACTACTAAAGGAAATATAAAAACATTATCGCGATTAATATTTAACATTTAAGTCTACCCCGGTAGTTTAACCAATGTACTTTAAATACGAAAATTTTATAATGAAAGGACCACTATAATGGTTTCAAAGACAGATTAATAGGAATTTCTCAAACTAATTGTTAATCTTTTATTCCAATATATTGTACAAAATATTTAATCAAATATATACAATAAAAATACATTATTACAAAATTTTCAACCATGCATAATTACAAAGAATGTAATGATAAATTAACAGTATTATATGAAATTATTATAATAATGATTATTATTAT